AAAAGTCTTTGATAGCATTAAACATCCTTTTATAGTAAAAGCTCGAAGAAACTTGAATTATAAGTAAAGTATCTCAACATTACAAAGGCTATATATGACAAACAATAGCCAACATCATACTAAATGGAAAAACTGAAACCATTTCCTCTAACATCAGGAATGAGACAAAATGTCACTTTTACTCTTCTCACTCTTACTTAATATAGTACTGGGGCAAGTGGAGTGGCTAAAGAGGTGAGAGTGCCTGCCTAAAAAGCATTAAGCCTTGAGTTCAAACCCAACTGCCAGCAAAATATTGAATAAAATGTATTTGTGTATCTATCTAGATACATCTATATATCTGTCAATCATCTATCTACCTATCTACCTATCTATCTATCTATCTGTTACTAGACTTTCTAGCCCAAGAAAGAGAAAGAAATAAGTAAATTCAAATAAGGAGGGATGATGTTATTCTATACTTGAAAGATTGTAAAGATTCCACCAAAAAACTCCTACACCTGCTAAACACTTTTGGAAATGTAACAGGATATTAAACCAACATACAAAAATCAGTAGCTTTCATTTACACTAACAAAGAATATCTTGAGAAAAAAATCAAGAAAATAATTCCACAGAATTGAAAGTATTTTCACCAGCTATTCAAGAGATAATGTAGTGATATCCAGAATGTACAAAGAGCCCAAAAAGTAAACAGCAAAAGAACAAAATACTCCAATTAGCAAATGGGCAAATGAATTGAACATACAGTTCTCAGAAGAAAAAATTCAAATGGTTAATCAATACATGAAGAAATGTTCAATATCTATAGCCATAAAGGGAATGCAAATCAAAACTTCACTAAGATTCCATCTCACTATCATCAAGAAAAGAAACAATAATAAATCTTGGTGAGGATTCTGGGAAAAAAGAACCCTAATATATTATTGGTAGGAAAGTAAACTGGTGCAACCATTATGGAAACCATTATGGAAATCATTTTTTGAAGTTCTCCAAAAAATTAAAAATATATCTGTCTTATCACCCTGCCATTCTACCACTCTTGGGCATGTATCTCAAGGAGTATAAATCAATATACAAGAAAGATATCTGCACACCCACATTTATTGCAGCTCTCTTCACAATAGCTAAACTGTGGATTCAGTTTAGGTACTTAACAACCAATGAATGGATAAAGAAAAAAATGCAAATATTGTATATATATATATATATATATATATATATATATATATATATAAATGGAACATTAACCATAATGAAAAGTGCAAACTATGTTGCTTGCTGTAAAATGGATGGAACTGGAGATCATACTGTTGAGTGAAATAAGCCCCTCACACAAAGACAAGAATTGTGTTTTCTCTCATTTGTGGAAGAAAAGAGAAAACAAAACACCCAGGTTATTTATGTAAAAGGGGACTGCTAAGGAGTGGATGGTGAAGAGAAGAGGGGAAGGAAGGAGAGGGTATAATACAGAGCAATAAGGTTAAATATGATTAAAGTACACATGTGGAAGTGTCATGATTAAACACCTTATTGTGTCTAGTTTAATATACACCAATTTAAAAATAACTATACTGATAATCCTATGGAAGCTCCCTATAATAAGTAACTCTTTTCTTGCTGCTGTCAAGATTCTCCCCTTTCCTTTGACTCTAGACAGCTTGATTAGGTTCTCTTTGGGTTTATCCAAATTTGGAGGATTTTTTAGTCATGTTTTCAGAAAAATGACTAAAGAAAACCTAAAAACTCTAATTAGGAAACTTGGAGGCATGAATTTCTTCAATGATCTCTGGCTACTTTCTCTTTCTCTTCATGTTTTGGGATGGTCTAAATGCATACATTGATCTAGTTGCTAGTGTTCAATAAATCCTTTAGGCTTACTTCACTTCTCCTCCTCCTCCTCCTTTTTCTCCTCCTCTTTCTATTCCTCTTCCTTCTTCTTCTTTTAGACAGGATCTCACTGAGTTTCCCAGGTGGGACTCAAATTTGTGAACTTCTTACCTCAGTCTCCAAATAACTGGTATTAGAAGTGTGAACTACTACACCTGGCTGGTTTTGAGATAGGATCTCAGTAAGTTTCCTGCCTAGGTTGGCCTCAAATTGCAATCCTTCTGTCTATGCCTCCTGAGCACCTTTATAAGTTATTTTAAATTCTTTATTCGGCAAACATGCACCTGCATTTCTTAGGGTCAGTTTCAGGAGTTGTATTTGTTTGGTTAGACATTTTCCCTTTTTATTCATATGTTATGTAATCTTTTGCTGGGATTTTGACATTAAGAAAAATAGACCATCTCTCCTGGTCTTTGGATACTGGCTCCCATGCAGGGGAAACCTTCACCAATCAGCCTGGCTAGAGTTTAGAGTTTCTAAGATCAATTTGATCTTTTGCATTCATGTCATCTGCCTGCCAGTTCTAACATGCCCCCAGGCTAATCTTTGTTTACAGAAATTTCTAAATTATACTGCCATTCCCATCAGCACCCTGAGGTAGGCAAGAGCAAAGAAGTCATTTGGCTGCTCCTTAAGTGCATGGCCCATCTTTCATTCCCATCCTGATTGGGGAGTCCCACTGTGTGGGACGTCATACTGTGCTTTGTTCCATGGGGCGGGGCACAGATGAGTGTAAAATGCTGTTTAGTTTTCCCTTCACTGGGATATTGTCTTGGTTTGACATTGTCTAGGTGCTATAGATTTTCAGTTGTTCTCTAGAGCTTTCACAAAAGTATAGGTATACTGGTTCATACATTGTTAACTAGGTTAACAATTAATTGCTTTAAGAGCAAGTGCTTAAAACTTCCTAGATTACTATCATCCTGACACTACTTCCTCTTTTCAGCAGTTTCAAAGTAACGCTGCCCATCCCTTCAGCACTCCAAGTCAGGCAAGAGGAAAGAAATACCCCGGGTAACTCTTGGACATGCTAGAATGTGGGATTCACTAATTAGTCTTTTGTTTCCCTCCTCAGAGAGTATCACCAGTGTGTGAAACTTCCTCTCAGTTTCACTGCATGAGGTTGGATAGGGAGAGGGACACAGGTGATGTGCAAACCATCTGAATTTTCATATCGTTTTTGCTGAAATCCTCTCTTGGTTTTATGATAGTCTGGGTGTTTTAGCTTACAAAGTAGATTTTAGAGTTCTGACATAGGTATTCTGATCCACATATATTTTTTAACTTAGTGTTTCTGTGGGAGAAAGGGGATGTTGAGCCCCCATCATGTAGATACATGCTATTATGTAGATATCTCTGCTTCATTATTGTTTTATGTGAGTTAACACTAGTTAAGTCTCTGAAATGGTTTAACAAAACTCATTTCTATTGCCATATATAATGACCTGTAGTTCAATAGAATCACTTTTCCAATGACCATTTTATTTTTACACAATGTAGGTTTATAAGATGATTTTTTAAAAAAATTTTTAAAAAAAAAATAGCAAAATAGAAGTCCTGACTACCCTCCACCATACCTTCTCCTATGGTAATATTTCACACAATTATAGTACATTATCAAAATCAGGAAATTAACATCAGCACAATACTTAGCCGTAATACCAGCGTAAATCATGTTTACCACTTTCTGCATCCATGGAGTGTATGTATGTACATGCATATGTGTGGTTCTGTACAATTCATTACATGTATAGATCATATACCATCATCATGGTCAAAATATGGCTCACCATCATAAACATTTCCTTCATAGTTCTCCTTTATATGGACAACCATCCTTTCCTTCCCCAACCATTTATCTGTTCTCCATTGCTGTATATTTTGAGAATATTTTATACATGAGATTATGCAGTATATAACCACTTGAAATAGTTATTTTTTCATTCAGTAAAATATCCTTAGTAGTCATTCAAGTGTTCTTTGTATCATCTTGCTAGTCAGTATGGTGAATTGTTCTGGCTGATATTTGGTTATTATGGATCACATTCAGTAGCCATTCGATGTGCTTGAATAGATTGATTGTTCTTGAATAGATGGCCTTCTTTCTTTCCTTCTTTCTTCCTTCCTTCCTTCCTTCTTTCCTTCCTTCCTTTGTTCTTCCTCCCCTCTCCCCCTCCTTCCCTCCTCATCCTTCCTCTTTCCTTCCCTGGGCTATGTGACTCAGGCTGGCCTCAAACTTAAGTATTCTCTTGCCTCAGCCCTCCAGGTGCTGGGACTACAGATGTGATTCACCATATCTGGCAAATATGTTGTGACATATATCTGCTAAAATTTTATTTAGGAATGTTGTATCAATGCTAATGGTAGACACAAATATGTAGTTTTGTTTTCTTTTCTTATATTGTGCTTGGCTGTTTTTGGTTTGAGTAATGTGGCTTTTATAGAATAAGTTAGAAAGTGTTCAACACTCTTCTCTGTTCAATTTTTTTTGGTGGCACTTTCAAGCGGGTGCTCTACCTCTTGAACCATACTTCAAGTCCACCTCTTTTCAATTCTTTGGCCTCACAAATGTAGATTATTAATACCTATTCCATGGGTTATCTGAAGTATGGAGAATTGAATTAATGTGGAAAATAAAGGTCATATTGGGAAAAATGTAATTTAAGAACACATCATTAGCAAACAATATGCAATTGACAAAATGCAAGCGCTATTCACATTTGTTTTCTCTTTATGCTTCATTATGACTTTTGAGGTGTGAATCACTGTCTCCAACTAATAAGCAAGGAACATGAGAGGAGAGGTTGTGACTCATCCAAGATCTCTTGTCTGAATGGAATTTTCACAAACTCAATTCATCTTCCCTCTACACCTCATGACAGCCATTATCCCTGACTCTCACATGGATGGGATAGTCACCTCTTACCTAAAACCCATTTCTGCTGGCTGTGTAGGGTTTTGGGTCTGAGAAAGAAAGTTTGTACCTAAAAAAAGCTTTGAATGTGATTCTTTCTCGGCATCTCCCTGCAGATGAAGGACAGGGACACTTAGGGCTTTCTTTTCTATGTGGGAGGGTGTAGAGATATTTTTTTAAAAACAGGCTTCTTTCTCTATAACACTGAACAGATGAAAATGGGAGTCACATTTTCCTCATCAGATGGACTATGCTCTATGAAGGGTCTCAGTAATCCTTCAAACTGATGTGTAAGAGTATAAATAAGGGTGTGATCATCTGTATTAAAGAATGATAGGGTCCCAGCATTATAATTCAGAAAGATACCCAGTCGTGTGGGGTTGGTTGTTAAGGAGAGGTGGATTCTATTGCAAATGTTTACAAAATACAATGTTTCTTTCTCTTGTCCAAGGACCCAGTACCCATTGATTGGAGACAAAGCCATATCCTTCTTCCTATCTACATCATCCCTGCACACTCCCACATGCCAACTTTTGTTGCGTCCTATATCTACTTCCCAGTAATGTCTCCCTTCCTTGAAACCCTGAGAAGCTACCACACATTTTCTTACAAATCTCTTCTCTGAGAAGGTCACTTCTTGGGGAGCTTTCCTGTAGGTCACAGTTTTCAGATCAGAAATGGAGAGCTGAGGGTGAGCTGTGTCTGGGTCCAGAGTTACCTTCACTAGTCACATTAGGAGAAAAATAAAGAACATATGTTACTGTGAGGTAGGGGAACTTGAACTAGGCCCGAGGTCACCCAGTATACACACTGACTCAAGTTGGGATTAGGGGAGGTCTTAGAAACAATATCCGTTGAACATTGCCCTTCCAGACCCATCTCTCATCTTTAGTACTGACTGAGGACTCATTGATACTTGAGGTCATGAACCCCTTTGTATCATCCTGCCCCTACCATGGTCCCATCATGTAAGTTCTATTTGATTTTGTGATATCTTAAATAACTCTACCATCCAAGTTTCTCCTATCTATCAATTCTTGTCCAAATCCACTTATGTCTCTATCAGCTCATTCCCCTGACCAATCAGTAGTATTCTCGATTTTCTGGAATTTTTTATTTGAGCCCCCCTCTCCATGCTTTCATTTTAAATTTGGGCTGAGAAGTGTGTTAGGTAGATGCTCCCTGATGTGAATCACAGATTCATCTTATTCAGGTCATATAGCCCTCAGTATCACTCAGCAACCCTATATCTGTCACTTGTCAGACTCTCTCCTATGCCAATCCAAGGCTCTGTCCCATTGTCACCCCTTCATTCCTTGGTACCTGAACAAGTCTGGACTTTTCTCCATTCTGAAAACAAGCAGACAGAACAGTCATGTTATTATTTATATGGAGAGCAGGAAACAGGGATAGAGAAGAGACCAAAGGTAGTTGCCCTCTTTGGGCCAAGGATTCGCCAGAAATATCATTAAGTCATTAAGGCCTCTTTACAAAATATGCCTCACTCAGTATCTGCTAACAGTTGTAGGGTCTCCAGAACATTGAAACCCATGTGAAGTGCACCTGTTGAGGAACCCATGGGCTTCAGATATGAGTTCATAAACCCAGGAGTGTAAAAGGAAGATACAAATGGGGAATGAAGAAGAATGGCTTTTCTTACCTATAAGTCTGAGTGTCTTTCCAAATTCTGAAACCAAAAACACAGAAAAGGCTCAAGTCACAGGATGAGGTGCAGGGGAAAATGTGAGAGGAAAGTTTTGCACTTGACAATGCTCTTACCCAGTTCATCCTCTAGTTTCCCTGAAATGGAGGAAAGCAGAAGATTTAGTCGTGATACAAGCAAGAGATAAAGGTGCAATAATCAAGGGGAGCCAAGGGAGACACCCCAGGTGATCATTAGATTCTGGGTCTGTGTACATACAGAGAGCTCATGAAATCTACTGTTCTTCTCTTGCTTTAAATGAACAAATAGGAAAAATTTGCATACAGTTTTAGAATGTTTCCTGACTTTGATTCCCATCCTAAAGCCAAAGTATTCTGGTTTCTTTTCAAATCACATAAATTTTTTGCCTTTTACTAAAGCTCTCAGCTATCTAAGGATTGGTTTCTTGCCAAAGATGGAAGAAGAGCAAACCATCTTTTCTCATTTCCCAAGCTTTCTGTCCAGTGAACAGTTTTCTGTCCAAGGAAGAGATGACTCAAACAATCTAGGTCTTAGAAGAGCAGTGTGTGGAAGGATCCAAACATAACAAGACATGTATGCAATTCTTTCTGATTTCTTTCTGAGACAGAGCATTCAGTGGTCAATTGAGTAGTGTATAAACACAAACATGGCTTCTTGCTTGGGTGGGACAAGCTGTTAGTCTGAATGACAGAGTCTCTCTTAGAACTCTTCTTTTGTCCAAAGTTCCAGTCCTTATACTGAGCAATTCTATCTGGAATCAAACAAGATGTCAGGATCATTCATACTGCAGAGAGGATGGAACTCTAGGATCCTGTGGTTGTGATGATGGAGGATATCAGGGAGAAGTGGCTGAGCTGGGGAGGTGGGATTAAGGCATGCACCCTTAAGGGGAAGTGTCACCTCCAAAGAGGAGAAAATTGACTCTTGGGGATGAAAACTCTTCTTGAGGCTGAATATTACTTCATCTTGTTCTCCACATGTATCTATATTATGTATATTTATATGTATTGCATATATATATTCTTTTTATATATAGTGAATCCTTTTTCATGAATTCTAAGAAATTTTTTAACATTCTGAAGTTCCTAAAAATAATTCTTTCCTTAAATCTGGGTCCTGTATAATGTAGAAAAAAACCTGGTCATGCTGGTGTTTCCTAAGGGGGTCATTTCAGGTCAGCACAGAAGAGAAGGAGGACTGTGATTTTTGTGGAAGACATGATGGATCTCAAGAGGCCTCAGAATCACTGATACTAGACCATGAATCAACCATGGGCCATTTCTCTCTTTATATATATATCTCCTCACTCACCCTTGAATTTGAAGAGCAAAATGGTCATCACAATGATGCAAACACATCCACCAATACAGAGGAGCATCAGTACGATAGAAACAGGTAACCAGTGTGAGATCTGGAAAAATGTCTCTGAAAAACAGTCACAGAAGACCGTTAATGTTTAACTGCAGTGACCATTCGATTCTCATTTAAGGACTCCTTTTGCTCTTCAAAGGTATTTTTCTATGATTCTTTCAACATGTTAAAACTTCATTTCTGGCTGTGTGTTGGCACATGGGAGGCAGAGGCAGGAAGACTTTGAGTTTGAGGACTGCCTGCTTTACACAGCAAGCACCAGCAAGTCCAAGCTCTGAATTAAATCCACAATACCACCAAAACAAAACCAAATAAACAAAATTTTAAAACAGTTCTCCTTATTCCATCATTCTGTTCTTTTTAAGCTTATTTTGAAATGAATATCAAAATATTCAGCCTTTTAACTTTCAAGAGGAACATTTAAGAATACAATTTTGACTCAGAGAAAACTTTAATTTTACATGTTACAATATATTGTGATTATATTACCATTTAGTTGTAAGAATTTTATAATTACCTTCAGCATATCTTCAATGATCTTATCATTTATAAGTATATTTAAAAATTTTCAAATATATAGTAATTTTAAATTATTTTCATTTTTTTGCCATTTAACTTAATTTTACTGTGATGAGAAAGCATTGTGTCAATAACACTATATCCTGGAAATTTTATGAAAACCATTTTATGTTCTTATACCTGGTAAAATTCTACAAATGTTTCATGTGAGCTTTAGAATAATGTTTTTGGAGCTGGAGGTACAACTTAGTCATACAGTGCTTATCTTGCATGTGCAAGGCCCTGAGTTTGATCCCCAGCACTGCAAAAAAATATTTTTGGGGGTACAGTCTTCTAAAAATAATTCAGACTTATTCATTTGTAGTTCAAATTGTCATCATTGTTTCTAATTTAATCTATTTACATAGTTTTGGAGCATAAATTTACTGAGTTTTCCTTCTATTTTCATGGATGTTGGCTAATATGTATTAAATATATGTTAGAAGATTCATTTATATTTAAAATATTTATATTTCCTGGTGAGTTAACTTTTTATATTTATGAAATAATTCTATTTTTAGTAAATTTTTTCTTATAACTTTTTCATTTTTGACACTAATATAATTCTTATGGTTTTCCTTTGATTAATATTTGTTTGGAATATCTTTTTCCACTTTTAATATTATAATGAATAACTCATGTTTTACATTTTTCTTTTATAAATGCAGCAAATGGTATTTTTTGTATTTTAAATGGGAATTTAATCACATTGATTATAATTGGAATATTTGAGTTAGCCTTGATTCTATGACTTTTGAAATCCTTACTGAAATTATATTTTTATTTTTCTGTTCCATAGACTAATGACTTTTGTATAAAAATGGGTAAAAAATAACTTTTTCTTGATTCTGGATTTTGTTTTCTAAGTTTTATGTACATTAAGTTTAGTGGGGTGTACCATGGTGGTGATCATGTAGTAAAGGAAACACCTAATTCCACTTCTGAGAACTGTAAGCCATTCTGTTTCTGCCTAATCAAGTATTTATGATTTTCTTTTTATACTTCATTGACTTTGGCTTTCAAAACTAATAAATAAAATAAAATAAAACAATACTGAACATTTGAGATAGAGTCTCTTTTCCTCCAAGGTGCTGAACAATACCTGCCCCTTTTTACTCACTTCCTATGAATATTCTGGATTTCAATTCTGGGCTCTGGTCAGTGAGTTGCATGGAACATGATATGATTCCAGAATTTTCTTGAACTGTAAGGGAGGTCTCCATATCAAACTGACCATGCACGTCTTTATTCACTTTGAATAGTGTGGGAAGTTCAAGTCCTTCTGGTCCTTTCCACTTCACTATGGGCTGGAATAACCAACCAGAGGACTGACAGAGTAGCTGGATGCCTCCATCAACGTATCCCATGATGGAAATGAGAGGAGTTGAGCCCATTTCTGCAGAGTAAACACAGAAAGAGTGAAAACAAAGGTCACATTCCAAGGCCACAGCTGTCTTAAGTCAGATACATCTAGCCCATCCACATAGTAAACTTTCCTCTATCTCTCATTCTCTTTCTTAGGCATGTGTAATGTTGTTAAGCCCTTCTACCACCTGTTCATTTAATGAGCCTTTAGCAAGTACTATATACATGGCTACTTCTAATAACTAAATTTGATAAAGTAAATAAGACAGAGTTCCTTTTAATAAGGTGTTTGCTGACTAAACAGGGTGAGTAATAAATAAAATTGAAACTGTACAAACATGGTTAAGTTAGCACTAAAGAGAGAGTGGATGACTGTTAGGAGAGTCATAGTTTCTCATAGGTGACATTTGTATCCTTCTGTGTCTGATAAATGATCTCCTGAAGCTGGAGAAGTAGAGGAGATAAAGACAAAAGGGCAAGTACATACATGGAATGGAGAGTGGATGTGCCAAAATGCTTTCAAGAATTACCTATGTGCAGTTAGTATTTCTGGACTGTAATGTGCAAAAGGAAAAGGATGCAAGATGAGATCTGAGACTGGCACAGAATCAGATTTGGAGTAAATGCTTTGATCCTAGGAATGTGGACCATATCCGGTAAGCACAGCATGTGCTAAAATCTTATAGGGCAATTGACTGCTTTACATCATGTGATAGTTATGACTTGAACTTTATCTTTGATATCTTTTCTAAATCATTATAAAATGAGGTTCCAGGGACTAGTAAAGAGAAGAAATGGGTAAGAGAAGAAGGCTGTGAGAAAGGAGAGACAAGTACAGGAGTTATTTGGGCATTTGATTTAAAGCACTAACTAGAACACAAGGAGGGTTTAGTATAACTTCCATTTGTGATTTGTGATACTAAGATGAGCACTCCTAAATATTTAACACCTACTTTATCATTTGTCATGGCCCATATCCCTAATCCAGACAGAAATTTTATTTTATATTCCATTTCATGCCATTCCCCAGATACTGAGTGGTGCCCAGAGCCTTATAAATTGTTCATTGAGGGAATAAATGGATAAATGTAAGGTGGAAGTTCTAAGGAAGGGGGTTCATATAAGACAGTGTAGACATCTCCCTCCACCTTCTTTCTACTCTCTCTCTATCACTATCCCTGAGATTCTAAGTAAAAATTTAAGCACTAGAAATAACATAAGAGGCAGCCATAGGGAAATTCTGGAAGTGAGGAAAAGGAAGATAAATTGACTAGAGATCATTGTTTGGAACTGAGCACTCTATTACCTACCAATAGAAGTTGTCTTAGGTAGTCTCACTCCTCCCCTCTCCCCATCACTCACATCAGGTAGGCCTGATAGTATTGGCAGAAAAATTGAGCAGCAGCTCCACTGACAAGAAATCAGAGGAAATACTGTTTGTCCCTGTGGGACAGAGTCTCTTCTACCTCACCTAGAAATATAGGGAATCTCACCTGGGGAAGCAGATTCTATTTCTACAGACAGCACTAGAAGTAATCAGCAGAAACCCTAAGATTAGAGAATTATTCAAGTATATGAAAAATTTAAAAGACTCAAAAATTGTCTTTGTAACCACAACTGGCATTAGCAGACCCATTCCTTAGTACTAACCCTAAGTAACTATTGATTAAATAAAAGCTTTCAACAGGACCCAGGGTATTCTGAAATAATAGCCCAAATGTCCATATTTGAACAAAAATCACTCATCATGCTAACAGCCAGGAAACTATCAACTTCATTGAGAACCATGGACTGATGCCCAAACCAAGATTAATCAGATTCTGGAATTAGGGATTTTTAAATAACTATAACAAAAATGCTTCAATAAATAATTAAATATCTTTTGAAACATGAAAATATGGAAAAGGAGTTATAAAAAGTGCCACATTTTATAACTGAAATAAAAATGTATTGAATGATATTAATAGTACAGTAGAAATGATAGAGGCTACAACCAATGAACTTGAATATAGAACAATAGAAGTAACTGAATAATGAAACAGTAGATTTTTATTAGTATGTTTTAAATTGCACAAAGGGGTTTCATCATGACATTTCCACATATTCATAAAGTGTACTTAGATCATTTTCACCCCTTCAATTACTCCTTTTTATGCTTCCTGTTCCTCTTCCCCATTTCTTTTCCCCCTCCACCTCCTATTAGTCACACTTTTACTTTCATAGCCTTGGTTTTTATTATATTTTGTTTTGTTTTCCTTTAACTTCCACAAATGAGAAAAAACATGTGATATTTGTCTTTGTAGAACTGACTTATTTCACTTAACATCATAACGTATAGTCCTATTTTCCAGAAAACAGCATATATTTATTCTTGTTAATGGCTGAGTAAAACTCCATTGTGTATCTATACATTTTCTTTATCCATTCATTCATTGATGGGCATGTAGGCTGATTCCATAGTTTGGCTGTTGTGAATAGTGTTCTGGTATACATGGGTATGCAGGTATTACTGTAGTAAGCTGACCTTGACTCTTTTACCCAGAAGTAGTATGGCTGGGTCAAGTGGAAGTTCTATTTTTAATTTTTTGAGGAGAATCCATAGTGATTTCCATTGTGGCTGGACTAATTTACTTCCCCATCAGCAATGGATAAATGTTCCTTTCTCTGTACATCCTCACCAGCATCTCTTGTTAATTGCTTTACTACCAGACAATAGGATAGGTAGGATTTGGAGAAATTGGTCAAAGGTTATAAAATTTCAGTTAGAAAGAAAGCACACATTCAGAGATATATTGTACCCTATGGTGACTTAACAACAATATATTGTGTACTTGAAAATTGCTGATTATTTGTTAAAGTATATAATGTAATTCACATAGTATCTCTATTTAGTCATTTCATGATATAAATCTATATCAAAACAGCCCATTATATATCATAAGTAAATACAATTTGATAAATTGCAAAAATTATTTAAAATATAGCAAAAAAGAAATGATGACTGGAAACATTCCCAAACTGAGGAAAGATATGAACATCCAGGCACAGAAGGCTCATAAAACTCCAATCAGATTCAACCCAAATAAAAACTTGCCAAACTATATGAAAATCAAATTGAAGAGATAAAAATGAAAGAAAGGAAAGAATTTGGAAAGAGCAAGAGAAAGAAAGTATATCATGTACAAGGTAGGGTCAAAAAGGCCATCAGCAGATTTCAAGAAGAAACTTTGTAGACCAGGTGAGAGTGGGATGATGTGTCAACGTGTTAAAAGAAAAGAATGACCAACAACAATGCTTAACCTGCTAATACTCCTTCAGAAATGAGTAAGTTTATCACCAGTAGATATACCTTGAAAAATAGTAAAGGAAGAGAATTCCTGAAGCTGAAATGAAATCTACTAATTAGCAGCATGAAAAAATTTGAGAATATAAAACTCAGTGCTACTAGAGGTAGATCACTTGCCTAACAAGCATGAGGCCCCAAGTTCAAATCCAAGTACTACCAAAACAAAACAAAAAACTCATTGTTAAAGATAAATATCAAAGCAAATTTAGAAGTCTCTAATACTGTAATGATGGTGTGTAAATCAATTTAGTTAAAATACAAACACTAAAAGATAAAATTATTAAAAGCAAATGTATCTCTATTGACTTTAATAGAGATAAACTATGATATGAAAAAGAGTGGATTCTAAAATGGTGGACTGCTGATAGGCACCACTTTTCTATGCCTCCACAAATTTCCTCAAGAGATGGCTGCAAGGAGAGGTGGGAAAGTTAGTAAACTGAAGAAGGATGCCAATATAAGGACAGAGAGTAGCTAAAAATACTGATTTCTAATTAATTCTCTAATAGTGCAAATCTGCCACGGGTTCTGTCCATCCTGTACCCCTCAGGGCCAAGTTTATTTTTTTTTTTACTGTTTTGAGCTTGAATTGCTTCCAACGAGAGCCACTAGTGAGGGCCAGCCTGTGAACAAAACAACTGCATGGAAAGATAAGAGCAGGCTGGCAAGCCTTGCCTAGGACACTGGATAGAAGTCAACTGGCATCTGTGTTTTATACCCTCAGGCAAAAAAATTGGCACAGAAATGAGCTGGATGAGGGCAAGAGTGAATGAACCAGTTTCAGTCCTGTGGGTCACCACACAGCTTTCCTGACCGAGTGCATGGTTGCAAATACATCTAACCCTGAAGAAAATTTTGGCCAAGTAGACTGATTAAAGAACCCCACACCCAGCCCCAGCCTGGTGGGGTGGGGGTGGGAGGTTGAAGCTACATGAATTTACTATAAATGGTGTTACCTCTGAGGGCTGCTGCCCAACTAAGCCCAGTGCATGAACACAAATACATCTGACCCCCATGAAAATATTCAGCTAAGCAGGTTGATCAAAGACACCCTCACATGGCCCCATACTTGTGGGGGGTGAGGTGAAGCTACCTCATCCAGGGTCTCTGTCCAAAGGAAGGTCACAGAAGTGGGCAGGTTAACTGGCTAGAGTTCAACATCTGGCTTTCTATCCCAAGACAAGGAGGATATGGAAGCAAGCTGGCCAGCTAGCTAGAACCCTTAATCACTTGCCCAACCCTGCAGTGTATGCATATACAAAAGTGACAGGAACTATTTGGCTCTCACTCTTCAAATGAAAACTGGAGGCCTAGGTCAAAAAGGGGAAAAAACTCATTGTGGGTAGGTCAGAACAGCCGATGGACTCCCTGAACAGTGAAAAACTCAGGCTTTAAGAGTGGCAGAATGCTTTCTGACCTACTCACTGTGCTCAGTAGCCCACCACTCAACTCCAACTGCTAGCTCACACACCTGGAAATGCCTCACTCATCCAAGTAACTGTCCTAATCCAGAGTCCCTGTGCTCCTAAGTTATACCTGAGCAATTCAGGGCTCTGAGGGGACATATGAGCAAACACAACAGAAGAACTGCAGACAAAACCAGACAACCAGAGATTGGGGAGGAGCATCCACTGTACTAATAGTGCCTAGCACACATTCATTCTTCTCAACGAGGAACAAATAGT